ATCTCATTTTCGTGTTGTGTATGGCTGCCTTCACCAAACAATGGCAGACAGGAGTAGTTGCCACAGAAACGATGTGGAGCTCAAAGGCAAAAATATTTACTACCTGGCCCTTATAGAAAAAGTTTACCAACTCTGCTGTGCATCCCCTACCTTCCTCCCAGAGGGTTTAATCACACTGGAAAATTCTGTGTGTGAAGGCTTGGATACAAGATACCTCCCTTCCTTCTCTGGGCTTCTCCAGGAAGATGCTCCTTAATGATGTGTGGATTGTTCACTAGGATGATAATAAAACCTGTGATTGCCTGCCCCCCAACCTGTGGAGGAGAGGCCAAAGAGAGATCACAGGGTCAGAGAAAAGGCCGTCGGGCTTGGGTAGCAAAATTGGGATGTGCCAGTCTCTCTGTTCATTGTAGAGGTTCTTCCAACATTATTGCTTTTGTTTATTGAAACCAACCCCCACGGTGCTCACCACCCTTGGCAGTAGGCCCAGACCTGCCCAGGCCCCAGCCTGCCAGTCCTGGCCAAGAGGACTGGGGGTGGAGGGAGCACTGGCCAGGCCCCATTCCAGGAGCCCTGCTTGCTTACAGCCTGAGGCACTAACCCCCACCCCCTTCTTAACGTCTTGCTTACAAGACAGCATTTGGAGACAATTTCTCATCAGACCTTCTTGTAAACATCCTCCTGGATGAAGCAAGCCTGAAGGAGCCCTTATTAGAAACACCTGCGCCAGACAACGGGCCTGGTGAATGACAGCTTGCAGAGCCGTCACCGGCCCCCCTGCCAATCCTGGGGCTGGTGAACTGGGTGGGATGGGAAATGGGAGTGAGGGTGTGGGTGGGGGGCAGTCTCTTCCCTCCCTTTCCCCTCTTCCCTAACCCCCCAGAGGGCCAGTGTTTGCTGAGACAGTGCCCTTCCCACTGCGGTGTGAAGGCTTGGTGAACAGAAATCTCTCAGCAGCTGGTTCTTGTGGTGCCCCAAACGCCCCCCATTAGTCACCTCTCGGATCTCGGAGTTAGTCATTGCCCTCTTCAGTTTCTCTAAACAAGATGGCAGCCACTCTTCCTTGTCCCACACACACCCCCAGAAGTGTTAACACACTGAGTTGCTTACCACTTGAAATGAATGAGACTATTCAAGACTTTCAGCACTGTTCAAGTTCGAGCAGAGATAGCAGAGAGGCAGATAGAAGTTCCCCTACGTGGAATTCCTAGGCTGGAAGTAACCTTGGCGTGCCAGCAAAAAATACAGGAAAAGCAAAATCAGAGTCCAAAGACCACATCTTCTACTGGAAGGTAGTTTCAAGCCATCTCCCTTGCTCCGACCAGACATTTTGGCGGGTGGTGATCCAAATCCCCATTTTGCTTAAGAGAAAGCAGCAGGAGAGGAAGAGGGACTATATAAATTGGACCCTGAACTCCGAAGAAATCAATTCTTGTACCATGAGCATTGGTCTGTGATGGGACCTTCCAGCACTCCCTGCACCCCTCTCCCTCCCACCGCGCCTGGGACCCCCAGCCAAGCACCTCTGCACCTCTTCCTGCGATCCTGCTCACAGATTCTCTCTGCCACTTGTCTACAGACGCCTCTCGGGACCCGCCAAGGCCAGACCCTGCTCTGGGCCATCCTTGGCCCTCGTGGGGGCCTGGAAAAGAATCTTCTACTTCTGGGGCTGGAAAGACTATACTTTCAGGGATCGTTTCTATAGTTTGTTACAACTTCTGGGGCTGGACACCCTGTGGAGGCACCCTTGCTAAGGTGAAGCAGTTAGTTCTAGAGGGAGTAGAGGCATGAGCGTCTGTCTGTCTCTCTGCCGAGCCATGTTCCCGCCACCCCTCACCCCAACCTCCCTCCCAGCAGGCCACAGAGCTCCGAGTGGGACTGAGGTGGGGGAGACTCACCAAGGACCAGTCTTTAATGAGTGGCGCAGAAAGAGGAAGCACGAGGCTCCATGAAATAAATTAGTGAAATCTCAATTCCGATAAATCCAGTTTCTTTAAAAAAAAAAAAACAAAAACACCAGCAACTGGTAGGAAAAGAAAATGTAATTTATGCCTATTGAAAGGAGGCCAGGTTTAAATTGATGAAGTCTCCTGTTTATGTAATAAATCCATTTCCATTCATGTCACCAATATATTTATCCACACATCCTGGTCCAAGTCAAATCTTCATTATTTTATTATTCAACGGGGGGCAGAGGGGAGGGCAGGGGAACAGAGTTCTGTGTCGAATTAATAAAGTCTCACTCTCTCCCCCAGATCCCTCCTTGCACGGGGACAATTTATTCCTAAGAAGAAGGCAGAAGAACTGGATGCAATTTATGTGCTTTGAAAGAGACCCAAACGTAATTAGGCAAAGTCTCAAGTTCACCGAGAAATAAATCCCAGAGAAAGTAGCCGGGGGTAAAATTTACGTTCCCTGAAAGTCTGAAAGCTTCTCTCCCACCGGCCTCCCGCCCCTCCCCCAGGCCACCGTGCTTGGTTCCCAGTTCCCAAAGACCGCCAGGCCCCAGGGGTTCTCTCCAGCACCCCCACTTCCCACAGGGCCCAATATGTTCACAGGCGTTCCCCTCATCCTGCAGGTTCCCAGGGACGCTCACCCTGCCTGTCCCTCCCCACCTTGACCGATACATACCCCTCAGACCACTGTCCCTTCACTCCATAGTCAGGACAGTTACAGGACAGAGGGACTTCTTAGCTTGTTGGGGCATTTGCTCGAGAGAAATGAAGGCTTATGGGGGTGCCTGTGCCTCCACACCCAGTCAGAGGCTTTTCCCGGAGCGAGGCGGTTTCCCTGACAGAAATCCCACAGGCAGCCCCTCTCCAGGTCCGGGGTCTCACTTCACTCCTGAGGCCCCAGCTTCCTTCTTTCAGGAGGGAAGCACAGGAGATGGTGTGCCCTTTCCCCAGGGGGTTGGATATTTGGTATTTGGGCTAGGTGGTGCAGGTTTTTTAAAGCCATCAATCTGGAGAATCCGGAGTGGCTGGGGGGAGGACAGTGATCTGGTGGGAGGTGTTCTCCTGAGGGGGGAGCCTGAGAGTGGGGTGGGCAGAGCAGAGCAGAGCCTCCCCCCACCCAGGGAAGCATGGGGGCGGCCTGGAGCTGTGTGGGGAGGGCACATCCATAGGAGGTTTACAGTTGGGAAACCTCCATTCCCCTCCCCCGCCCACCAGACCAGTCCCTGGGAATGTAGCTTTGTGCGGCCACGAGAGTCAAGATACCCCTAGGACTGATTCTGCCTGGCTCAGAGGCTTCGGGGCACACACAGCCAACAAGCAAAGGCTCCTATTGCTCCAGAGAGACTGTGGGAACTTAACGTAGATCCAGCCTTGCTTAAGGTCCCCCCAGTGAGGAGCTAGGCTCATGGCCCATCCCTAGCCCTGCCTTGTTCCCTCAAGAAACGGGCCATTTTGCTCCTGGCGATCAGGCAAAAGCACCTGGGTAGGTGCTGGAAGGTGAGGTTGAGGTTTGAGCAGAGCTCAGACCCCAGCCACAGAGAGAGAGAGGACAGACAGAGCAAGTAATGGGTAGAAAAAATCAATGGGACTTTGTGCAGGGCGATGGAGTTGGGGCAATGCCCGGGTTTCCGGTAGGAGCACCTGTGTGACCAACTGGTGATACTGTTTGCCCTGGTGAGGAGGGCTGGGGGAGAAGGAGCCAGTGGGTACAAAAGATGATGAGTTTACCTGGAGAAGAGTAGGCTTGGGGGAAAAGCAGGGATTAGATGGGTTCAGTGTGGAACAACTGAGTTGGCCAAGACTTTGCCATCCCCAGAGAGATGTCTGGTGGAGACACAATTGAGCGTTCAGGAGAGAGCCTGGAAGCCTCTGGCACACAGGTGGTCCCTGACCAGAGGAGCTGCCCTTGTCCGGGAGAGTGTGAGGGGTGAGACGGGCCGAGGCCAAGAGCACAGGAGGGAACCAGGGAAGGCAAGGCCAGAGGGAGGTGGGAGGAGACAGAAGGGGGTTTTAAGAAGAGGGACACCCCCAACGGCGTCCAAGGCCAAGAGAGGACAATGCACTAAAGACTGAGATGCCTCCATCCCTGGTATCAGAGAATACTGATGACCTCAGTGAGAGCCCTGCTGGTGGAGTGAGGGGACAGAGTAGAGGCCAGACTTCAGCAGGTGGAGGCAGGGGCCCCTGGCCTGTGCGTTGTTCTGAGGATAGGATTAACCTTACAGGATGACTGACATGGCATCACAAAACCAAGTGCTGGGAGAGGGTCTCAGAGAAGGCATGAGGGGGCTGGTTCTCGGAGCAGAAGGCCACTGCACCCTTCGAGAGCATGCGGGCCACTTTTTCCTCCAAGATGGGAGAGGAGGTGACTCTGGACATGAGATGGAGGACTGTGCCCAGCTCAGGGAAGGGCAGGGAAGGGCCCGGTTAGAAGGTGAGGTGGGCACTTCATGTGGAGCCCCAGGCCTAACTCCTTCCTTCCAAGCCGACGCTCCTTCTAAGAACCCTTTGTTTCCAGCTTTGGCCGGCCACTGGCTGACAAGGCAGCCTGCAGGAGGCTAGCCGCCATACCCCTGGAGAACGTCGGGTACCTGATTAAACCTGACAGGACCAGTTTCCTAGCCTAATTTCCTTTGTTTCTGCTAAGGGGATGCTCCTCAAGTGCAGGGTCCCAGCTAGAGAGCCTTTTGAGCTTCCCTATCCAGCATATCGCTGATAGCCATGCTAATTGAAAGTGACCTAGATGCTGGGAATGCAGATGCCTTTCTCAAAAAGGCCCAGGCTGGGCCCCATCCATGGGCAAGCTGCCTTCAAAGACTGCTTCCCCTTGGGCCACACCTCTGGGAAAGTCATCATGACTGAAGGGGGCCATCTGATCCAACTGACACACTATTGCTCAACAGCAGTCCCTGGCATACATTGACGGGAAATGGGCTTGCAGTTCAGCCAAAGGGCTGGTGTCTTTGATGACGCAACAATGGCTCTATCTGCGAAATGGGCATTCTAGAAGGTTCGGAAAGGGAGCCCTTCCACCCTCAAACTCCCTCTGCCCATAGGCAGCCTCAGGTCAACTCTGGGCAACCTGGGCAGGTCTGGCAGCTGGTTTTGAAGACACCAGAGGGGGTTAGGACCATCCTACGGCCCGAGGGGTGGCCAGATTGTCACTGCTGTGCACCTCCGAGGGTGCTTTCCTTGAAGCGACACACCGCCGATGGGGACTGCTTGATCATGGGCTGACTCCCCTGATCTGGGCAGCAGGGACTCTGGCTATAAAATTCTTGTTTTACGAGGTTCGCTGGGAAGCCAAAACTCCCCTGGCAAGCCTACCAGGCAGCCCCGGAGGAACGCAGCAAAAGAAGCCCTATTGCCAAGATGCATTGCATCTCAGTCGCTCTAGGAGCTACTTATTTCTCAAAAGCCCAAACATCCGGCCACTTGTCACAGATCTCGGAGGAGGTCTCTGGCTCCATCAGGAAGGGCGGACTATGAACAAAGATCCCAGGATCCTGCTGTCCGTGACCCAAGCATGGTGAGAGGACGAGGGAGTGGGGGAGGTGTCAGTACAAGCCCAAGACTCCTCCTCCATGGTGCGTCAGGCCCCGGAAAGCCCCCGTAGTGGACCTGCTATCTCCCAGAAGCAGACCCTAAGAAGGGGATTCATGCACAAGTGGTTCATCAATGAAGTCCTCCCAGGAAAAACCAGTCGGGGGGGGATGGGAAAGTGGGACAGGAATGAGAAGAATCCAAGTCGCCTTGTGATTTCAGGTGAAGTTCCGGTGTCTGTTTGATCCTGCAGGGAGCTCTGGGGCATAATTTACCCCCAGAGCTTATCCCCCTGGAGGCAAGGAAACTGAGCCATATTCCTTTAGCAATCAGGCAGAAGCTCAGTCTGCCCCCAGGGGATAGAAACTCAGCATTTCCAGAGCTCCAGGAGTCTGGGTGAAGTGGCTGCAGGGACCCAACAGTGGCCTGTAAAGGTGCAAACTCTTAGGAGCAAAACTCACAAGAGCTAGGGGATGGGCACACAGAACTGGCAAAGGAGGAGTGCCTGGGAGGAGCCCCAAAGCATGGTTCCTCTTTGGTAATCTTCAACTTGGGTCTGACAGTTATTCCCTGCATTGATCCCTGTCACACCATTCCACCCAACAAAGGCAGCAATTAAAAACCATCCACCCTCTTCGCAGCATAGGTTCCACGGTCCTGGCCTCCGAACCCTGGGCAGGAACCATTATGGGGCCAATTGTGTGGTTTTAGTATGGCTCTGGCGTGTCCTGAGAACCTCAGTGACCATGGTATCACTCTGGGAATCATAGGAGTAACCATTTGACAGAGTCTTTGTTTGAAATGGGATAAAAGAGGACTGGTTTCAAGGCCCCTTCTTACTCTCTTGAGACAGGAAGCATTTGGTTCGGGCATGCAACTTTTGTCATGACCACCAGAAAGACTCGGCTAAGGGACAAGACAAATACTCACTCCTCTGGGGGCTGGAAGCTTTAGACTCATGAACCACCAAAGCTATACAGCTTTGGATCATGATCGGGACATTTCAGAACTAAAGTCAGTAAACTTCTACAAAGAAGCAATATTGGAACTCTATGTGGTCATTGTCCATTTTCCTTTTGGCTACAAGGAAGGTCTCAAAATTTTGTGGTGAGAAATGAGCCATAGCTTGCATTTATGTGTATTTTTTTAAATATTATTTCTCCTTATTTACCTATACTTCCTCTACATGCCTCTGGATTGGGCTAACTATCTATCTATATACTGTTGCTGGTAAGGACTTCTTAATTTTCATGAAAAGATAGCAATTTTCTTGTCTATAGCAATTTTCTTTGCCATAAGCAAAGCTCATGGTCAGGTCTTAAGTCAACAGCAGAGGATATTTTCACTGTGGTTGTTTGCCTGAAATTGTAACCTGAACTCTCTGCTACTCAGCTGTATTCAAAATCTTGGTTTGCAGAAATGGTCATCATGGGGGCTAAGGGAGTTTGATGGGTGGGGAGGGCTCCTGGTGACATTAAAAATCTCATTCCTGAATCAACCTAGGCTATCCTAAGCCACCTGAGAGCTCATTCTTGGACTACATAGCTTTGAACTCGCCTGTAATTGCTGTTATTAAATTTCTTTTTGGTCTTCAACTTGCATTTCATCCCTAGAACCAAAAGTAAGTTTCATATAATGGTATATGCGTTTTGAAACGTAATAAGTTGTATGCAATTTACTATTTTTTATGGGGATGTTGCCTACTTTTTTTATTATATGGGCATTGAGAATCTTGTATTATGTGGGCATTAATTGTCTGGATGCTAGGAAGCTCTGAGCCAAATTAACATCTCATCTATATCAATTGTACATATGTGTGAAACTTTCTATAGAATAGCTGGGTGGAGGGAATGCTCATCTTCAACTTTACTAGATCTTACCAAATTATTGTCCAAGGAGGTTGTCATCAAGTGACCCAGAGTTCCTGTTTCTCCCTCTCCTCATCAACACTGGATATGATCACAATGTTTAATTTTTGCCAAGTCAAGGAGTTTGAAGTGGTTGCTCTTTACATTGCATTTCCCTAGTTCCTCAGGAGCATCTTTTCATGTATTTATTAGCCTTGAGGCTATTTCACTTGCAAGCTACCTGTTGAGAGCCTTTATCTCTTTTTTCCCATTAAAATATTATTCTTTCTCTTACTGACTTCTGTAAAATTTGTAAGACCTGTAGACTTCTTTTTACCTCTGACTTCATCCTACGTCCCTAATCTGTTTACCTCCATCCTAATTTCCTTAGCTATCTATATCTACCTTCTATATATAT